ACACCCCTCCACACGTGCACACCACTCCACATGTGCATACTGCTTTACACGTGCATACCACTCCACACATGCACACTACTCCACACATGCACACCACTCCATATGTGCACACCGCCTCTCATGCGCACATTGCTCCACATGTGCACACCACTCCATACGTACATGCACATCCACATACCCCCTACCATTCGAAGACAGTCACACATACACAAAGACCATGCGTCTTGTCGAGTTTCTAGGAGGATACGTGAAGATGTAACAATGGAAAAACTCTTTCTTCAAGACAGGGTTTCTCTGTGTAGCTTTGGAGCCTGTCCTGGAACTCACTCTGTAAACCAGGCTGAGCTCGAACCCAGAGATCTGACTGCTTCTGTCTTTCAAGTGCTGGGATTAAAGGCATGTGCCACCATCACCCAGCCTACAATAAAAATACTCATACAAGGATCCAGATAGGAATGTGGAATTGACAACTGGCATTTATTTAAGTACTTAATGGAATCCCTTTAAGCACTTAGTTTGCACGCTTGTGTGTGTGTGTGTGTGTGTGTGTGTGTGTGTATGTGTGTGTGTGTGTGTGTGTTTGTGAAACTTGGCTTACATTAATGTCAGACTCTTTGACCCAGTGGTATAAAGCTAGATTCACTGACTGTTTCTCTTCCTGCCTGCCCAGTGGCCAGCCCATTCCTAGGGTGGAGTATACAGAAGAAGAAACTAAAACTTGGGGCGTTGTGTTCCGGGAGCTCTCCAAACTCTACCCCACCCATGCTTGCCGAGAGTACCTGAAGAACTTCCCCCTGCTGACCAAGTACTGTGGGTATCGTGAAGACAATGTGCCTCAACTGGAGGACGTCTCTATGTTCCTGAAAGGTAAGATTCTGCAGCTGTCCCTCCCTACTCCCATCCCCATTGGCTTTTCAAGGGGATGATGGTGCACCATGAGCCCCTTTTCTGAAAGGAGAAAGTAGAGGCTTAGAAAGAGGAGCACCAAATCTGCCGGCAATGAACTCTTGACTGGAGAAATGGATTTGGCTATTTGTGAGCTCTTTCTCTGAGGTTTGCGGTTATAAATGGTAAGCTGGAAAGGATACTTGCCAAAAAACACTAGATTTGAGCATCTTCTGAACACAAATTATTACTTATACTTATTACTGGAGATCATACATCTATCTATGATCAAGGAGTTGAAGGGGTGGAATTCCTTTAGGGGGCTTCTGTTCCCTTGCCTTTTTCAGTTGTTGGAGTCTACCTGCCTGCACTGCCTGACCCGTGGCTACTGCTTGTCATCACTCTAGCCTTTGACTTCCATTGTCTCCATGCCATTTCTGGCTCTTCTGCTCCCCTGCCCCCAGACAGGCTTTCTCTGTGCAGTAACTCTGACTGCCTGGAAACTTACTTCATAGACCAGGCTGGACTTGAACTCACAGAGATCCTCCTGCTTCTGCCTTCCGAGTGCTGGGATCAAAGGTGTGTGCCTCTACTGCCTGGTCCCTGCTTCCTTCTTGTAAAGACCTTTATGATTTTAAATCCTCCACTTGGATAATAATAGCCTCATCTCGGAAGCAGTATTAGATCACATCTCTAAAGGTGACTGGTCCAAGTTAGACAACATTTGCAGACTCAAGGTGATTGGGCTGTGGGCACTTTTGGAGGGCTACTATGTTTCTTTCTTGCTTCTCCCTGGAATCCGCCAGACTGCCACTTGCTGCTTTGGGACACTCCGTATGCCAAGCCTTTTCCTTCATTCCACTTCTTCTACCCACATTAAGGGTACCCTTCTACCCACCATTTGACCATCTTCATTCTTAAGTGTGCCCTCCCCCTTGACTAACCTGTTCATTGCCTCCACACAAACATTACCTAAAACATTACTTTCCCCCTCACAGGTTGGCTTAGAAGCTCCCAGAGGCCCCCTCTACTTGGAGACAAAGGAGGAGCGAATGGGGGTGGGTAGAGGAGAGGTGGAGGGAGGGAGTAAGAGGAGAGGAAGGAAGGGAAACTGTGGCCGGTATGTAAAATAAATAGATGGATAAATTAAACAACTGGAATTGACAATTGTTAAAGGTAGGGCTAGACTGATCAACATTTTGAGTTTTGTGATCTAAGATGAAAAAAAGAACTAAGGGAGTTATGTGGGCACTTATGTAGTCATTTTGATGTGAACATTGAAAAGTACAAAGCTATTTTATCATTGTCAGGATCTCAGCCTAGACTCTCCCTTTGCTCTGGTGAATGTGATAGCCCTCCAAAGAACTCCTATAATGAGACACAGAGAGAATACTGTAGAAAACAGAATTTATTATATAGTAAAGCAAAGTACACCCTCAAGGGGTGAGAGGAGGTAATGGCCAAAGGGACCTTTGCTTCAATCTATGCTTTAGGTAGGTTTTATACTATTTCCAAATTCCTTAGAACAAACAACTTTTCCTGTGGGACTTTGTCCTGTCTAGGTGATTGACAGGCCTGTTTGGATAGACTCTTATAGGCGGGGACAATGGTGTGTGTCTTCATTCTGTAAAGAAAGCTCCTGCTAGAGAGGGACCTGACTTGGCTATGGCCTCCCACAGCAGGGTTAGACAGTTGTCTATTAATGGCCTTCGAGGGGGTTTAGGATCTTTGTGTCTCCTCCCAGGAAGAGAGACATGGTTCAAATCTCATTCCTGTGATATGAAATTAGACTCCTGCTGCCCAAGTCCTTGGCTTATAGAAGAAGGTGCCTGATCCTCATATCCTCCAAGCTTACTGACATCTCCCTATCCGCTGAATACCAGGACAGACAGACATAGACCAGGGCTGAATTTGGAGGAGCCGAAATTTCTTGGCCTCAATGTAAGGCCCTGACCCAACTCTCCAAGCACATCCTGTTGTATCGTCCTACGCATACGATCTGTTCTGGCTGTGGGCTGCTCGTACTTCTGTTCAAATGCCATCCTTTAATTCTTCAAGGTTCAGACAATGTTCTGGCTCCTCTGTGATCCCTGGTGATAATAGTTTTCCGAACTCCCTCTCCCCCGCTTTTGTTCTCTGTCACATGTGGATCAGAATGCACGATAGTCTTATAGCTGTGCCTCTGAGAGCCACAGCTAGCCCTGGCCATGGAGGATAAGTCTGGATGTGTGAACGTTGTCCGCGACACTGCATTTGTGACTTAGAAGAGACAGAAAGCCACTGATCAGCCTCACTTCATTAGCACCTAGTTACATAGGGAGTTTTGCTGTGGTTTTAGCTAGACCGTTCTGGCAACTTGGCAGCTCACAGGGAGGCCTGCAATCTGTATGTTCACAATGGGATTCATTTCTCCTACATAGGATTTATATTTTGCTCTCTTGTTTCTCAGCCTTAGTCATTAGAATAACACCCCACAGCTTTTGCCATCTCTTCCTCCCAAGTCGCTCTTTTCGCTCAAGTCGGCGTAGAGTTCGGTTTGAATCACTCACTGGCTCACAGCAGACACAAGGCAAGTTCAAGTGCGTGGGTTCGAGTTGCTTTTAATTGACTCGTTTAAAAAAGTGCCTCATTTATATGAAGCAGACACTTCTAAGCCAGTAGTATATACAGAGTCAGTGTTCTCGATGGCAAAATTTTACGTTTTTCTAACTTGCACGGAATAAAATATAAAACGATTAAAATAAAAACGTACCAACTTATGCCCCACATTTGAGATATATTGCCAGAACTGATGTAATATAGAAAAGGAAGAAAATAGACTTATCCTTTTGATACTCAGGAGAACAATCCAGGTTGGAAATTCTTGGCATAAACATAATGCTGCTAGAGTTATGGCCCCAGGGAGGCCTGAGAACGGTGCTATTTATATATTGGTACCAGAAATCCCAAAATGGGCTTATTTTACAAACTTTGTTGGCTTTGCCTTTTCTTGCTGTTTCCAACCATCCTGAGGTACTCTCTAATAAGTTGTTTTCCGAATGAGGGTCTGTGCAATGCTCGCATCCTGGGAAAGTCCTCCCGGATATGACGCTAAGAGAGATAAGCCAAAAGCCAGGAAGACAAAGAACAGATGGGCCCGTTGTAGATGGAGTTTAAAACCAAATAAAACAGAACCAGACAATCTATCAGTGGTTACTGAGGTGTGAGAGTAAGAGAAATGGGAGACTTTAGTCAAAGGCTGCAAAGTTGCCCTTATGCACAGTGAGTAAGTCTAGAGACCTAACTTGCACAATGACTATGGCTGGGCACACTATGTTACATTGTGGCATTTTCCTTGAGAGTAGATTTTTATGGTGCTCTTAACCACACACATGGATCTATGTAGAGACAGGTATATTAGGCTGACTTTGCAATCATTTGACTGTATATTTATAAAAATATGTTTGACATTTTAAATATATACGTTTTTACTAGAAACAACCATACTCCTAAAAGAGAGCAATCAATATAAAATAACCATTTTAAAACACAATATTTCAGTAAAACACCTTATACCTTTTTTCATAAAAGTGGGATCAATGATGAGCCATAGATTTCTTTTGTGAATGGTAACTTCAGACTTTAATCGTATTCTTATTTTCATTCTCGCTCTCACAAAACAATCTAGTATGTGGTGCTTCGGGGACACCTCAGATCACAGTGATTCTCTGTGCAATAGGACAAAGGGCAGCACAACACAATGATGTGTGGAGGGGCTTGCACAAAAAGAAATAATTCCAAGATGCTGATTGAGGGGGAGCCTTCGCTGCGTGTTGCTCAACACTGGCATGCAGAGCGGATACCCAGGGGCGGAAACCGAGAGTGTGTAGTAGGCACCACGTTAGGTTATAATCTCCTCCTACATCTTTGAGTTTTCTTATCCGAGTTTGGCTTCTGAATTTAGGTCCCTAAAAATATTTTTAACCTTCTTTTTTAATGAACATCTTGTTCCCCTGGAAACCATCACTCGTGAGCAAAAGCATATTTTAGTCACCGGAGTCCACAAGCATGATGTCTGTTAATAGGATGTGTCATTCCTTCATCAGGAGTTTTAAAACCTGGATGATTTTGCAAATAACAGAGACTCTAAAACTTCATCATGCAAGAATGTATTATTTAATGAATATTATTTAATGAATGTATTATCATGTATGAATGTATTATTTAATGACTATCATTGCCAAAGACTTTTTCCAAAGGATGAAAGCATGCATAACAAGTGTCCAGAATGGTAAATGAACTTATAGTTCTTGAAAGATTATTAAGAAAAAAATATATGGGCCCTCAGGTCCCAAGGTCTGAGTTTAGTTGATTCTTCTTCTTGTCTCTTTAGAGCGGTCTGGCTTCACGGTGAGACCGGTGGCTGGCTACCTGAGCCCAAGAGACTTCCTGGCTGGCCTGGCCTATAGAGTATTCCATTGTACTCAGTATGTGCGGCATGGCTCAGACCCCCTCTACACCCCAGAACCGTGAGTACTGTATTCTGTGTTAAACTGCGTGAAGGTCATTACTGTATAAGCTTACTTGACTTGATTTCACATTTTCAGCACTGGGAACCACAGCACTTGTCTGGAGAAAGGAGAACAGTCTGGAAGATCAACATCTTCAGCTGGTACCCTGGGCTTCTGATATTCTAGCTGGGGTCATCTCTCTTATTTAACTGCAAAATTTAATGTTCTGCTTGGGGCAGTCTTCTTTCTTTTCCTTCTTAGCTTCCTCCTCCTCCTCCTCTTCTGTTTTTCAAGATATGGTGTCTCTGTGTAGCCCTGGCTGTCCTGGAACTCACTCTGTAGACCAGGTTGGTCTCGAACTCAGAGATCCACCTGCCTCTGCCTTCCGAGTGCTGGGATTAAAGGTGTGCGCCACCACCGCCTGGCATTCTTAGCTTCTTGAATGTTCTTCCATTCCTTTCATCATAGCAACAAAGCATTTGATTTTTTTTTTTTACTTGTCAGTTTTGCACAAAAGACTCATCTGTGGCCCTTACGACCATTCCTTCCTTGCCAATGGGAAGTTAAGAGCAGACAGAGAAGCCATAAGAGTGGGTCATCTAATGACGTTGTGGGTGAGCAGTAGGGGTGGTGGGGTTGTGGTGAACGGTAAACCCCTAACTGTTGAACAGTTAGCCTTCCCATAAATGGGATTATACAGTCTACAAGTGCTTGATGCCTTATATTCTGCTTGCCATACTTCGAAAAGTAATACCTCTTGGGAAATACCTATGTGCTTGGGTCGTTTGGGAACAGACAACCCCTTGTCTCCCTGGGCTGACAAGATGGAGAGCAATGGTTAGTATGTAAGCGGACAGGTAATATGACATTAAGCGTCAGTCATACCAATGACTGCTGGTAGGTCTTGTGAAGGCAGATGGAACAGGAGGAAGATATGGAGAACCAATTGCTTTACCTTTTGCTGTGGGTCCCCCAGATGCCCATTGGCAGAGGACATTAGAGCAGAGATCTGAGTGCAAATATCCCAAGTCAGAAGAGCAAGAAGGGACAGACCCCGAGGCTGGGCCCTGCCGTGGTTGTCTGCCTCCCTGGGCTCCATTCAGATAAATGCCTCACCCCAATTTTAGGCTAATTTCTTGCTCACTGTTCTTCAAGGCACTCGAGTTATCACTTTGCTTATGATGCTGTTTTCCTTGAATAAGCACATGATTAATGGGCTGCCAAGGTCTTCACAGGGGAGCCGAGAGCCCTCGAGGTCCAAGCAGTTAAGTGGCTGATAAGTGCGGAGGTGGGCAGGGATTAGAGCTGGGATTCTGCAGCTTCCATCCCCCTCCTAGGCTGGCACGAACCGCTGGCCAGGTGGGTCCCTGTAGGGGCACTATGTTGTTTTTTTTTTTAGCTCCATTCAGCTTCTCTGAAAGCGTTTCAGGGTAAACAAAGGTTACTTATAGGACTCCAGACATTTGGAAAAGCAATGCCTCTTAGAGTGGAGTACTCAAAGGAGCATTGTCAGAGTTAGAAAGGCAATCTCTAAATCTAGCCCAGAGGGTTTACAAATGGCCCTGTTTACAAATAGCAGGCACTTTGTTAGCTCTTTTTGAGTAACTGGCCCTCCTGAGACCCGTGATAGCGTGCCAATAGGTATGCAGAAAGAGAGGGCCAAGAAATGAGATTTTAGCCACAGAAGTCTATAAAATTTTGGGATAATGTGTTACATTTTTACCAAAGTACTTGCAGCCAATTCATTCAGCAATATTTATGTGCAGTGTTAGCAGGGAGGTACAGCCGATTTAGAGATGAATAAAATATAGTTTGCTTTGCTTTTTTTTTCCCCTTAAAGCAGTTGACATCTGGCAGGGGAGGTAGACTCACAAATAATCAGAAAAGAGTTTGTTTAGGGGTATTGCATTAGAGAATCCCAGAGGACAGAACCATCCAGAGAGACTAGAACAAGAATAGACGCTGGAAATGTTGAGCAGAGAGCTCCAAGCGAAGGGACAAGCAAGCACAAGGGACAAGCAAACACAGTCGTGGAGGCACGCAGAAGGTCTCAGAAGCAGCTTTCATAGAGCATAGAGTGGCTATGGTACAACTTATATCAGGGGTGGAAGTCATCCGAGCACATCAAAGTCGTTTGTCAACCTAGGGCAAATGGGTTTTGGTTTATGTGGAAGGGCCTGGGGAACTGTCCAAGGTTCTGAAGCATGATCTTCAGAAAGAGACTGGGCGCTGCGGTAGTGTGGAGAATAATAGAGATGGAACGTTGGCTAGGGTGCTGACAGGTTCCACATCAGGTGTTGAGTTAAGGGGAAGCAATGAAGCAGTGGGGCGTCTCTTTCATGTTCTCTTAACCCTATAGGAAAGGACTTAATGTTTTCTGATTGTAGTTAAAGACAAGGAGAGGGAAGTCCCCTAAGGTAATGGTAAAGTTTTTATTGAGAAAGTAAATGACTTATTATTTCTAGTAATTGTTAAGATTACTGGATGAAGAAGCTGAGGAAATGAAGAGGAGGATTTGCATTGGAATATGCTGTCTTTGAGATAATCGGGGTTGGGATTTCCTGATAAAGAAGACCTTAGTTCTGGAGTTCAGAAGTGAACTTGAAGATTGTACTAAAAAGAATTGAGAACTTGAATTTTTTATTACTTTGAGGATTTAAGACAATGTATTTTGAGCGTATTCACCCCATTCATGCCTGTAACTCCTTTCAAATCCACTTCCATCCCTCTACCTCTTTCTTCTCTGTATATATAACGACCTGAGTTCAATCTGTGCTGCCTAGCTATTTCTAGGTCTGAGGGCTACTCACCAGCTCATGGCTGATATGGCAGAGCCCATACTCATAAAGGAAACTGACGCTCTCTTCCCTGGAAGCCACCGGCTATCCAAAGATCTCCACCCATGACTGAAGATGATTCCTGAACTCCTCCCCACTCCGTGTGAGAACGTTGATTTGGCTTGACTTTGTGCATGTGACCACAGGTACAATGAGCTCATGAGGGCTGCAGTTCTGCCAATGTCCAGAAGAGACTCTTCATTTCTGTGTCTGGACTTCTGGACAATGGTCCTTTCAAATTGTAGGAGTCCCGTGGACACACAGACAAGAGGAGAATCTGGGAACTCACTAATTTTGTGTTGTCTTGTTTATCAACCAATTCATTCGATTGTGTAGTCTATATATGTGTATACATGTGTTTATGTGTATGTGGATATGTGGATGTGTGTGTGCAAAGGGTGACCTTGAGAGTCATTCCTCCTCTGGTGTCATCTACCTTGGGACTCTAATGCTTGTGTGGCAAGACATTAGGGATTAGTTTCCTTAGCCTTAATTTTCATAATATTTATTTGTTTAAAATGATGATTTTATAACAACTGATGCACATATAGGGCCCAGAATTCAAAGGGTATACTGTACACAGCAAGTTCCTTTTCTTCCCCTTGCTACTGGTTTCTATTATAGCCTTCCAGAAATATGCTATGCAGAATAAATTCCCTGTAGAGATCCTTTTAATCCTTGTGGATTACAAAGTTCAGTCTCTTTTTAGTGACACGGTTTGGACCCATAAAATACTGTACTTAGAAGTGCCCTTTCCTGCCCAACAGCTTCCACAGGCATTGTCTTTAGAATGAAATCTCGCTTTTTCAATTGAACGGCATCAAGAAGGGCAGAGTTTCCAATTTGTGAGGTTCAGCGTGGCTGCTGTGTTTGGTGCCTGTTCTTCCCCGTTCAATTGCAGCCCCCCAGGTGTTGAACTGTGGCGGTGGAGGCGGCACTAATGAGACAAGGGAGAGCTGTGAAGGCTTGGGGAGAAATGGGAACGAAAGGCACAAAGAGACATTGTCTGCAAAAGGGACTCTTTTCTCTGCCAGTCCAGGAGGAGTTTGCTATCACAGATTTCAACATATAATGACTTTTTTTTTCAGTATATTAACTTATGTGCAAATAGCACTGTGCTTTTTCTTAAATGTATCTATTTTTGTGTACACTGCCATTTTTGTCTGCATTTATGTCTGATTTTCTAACACACGTTTTTGGCTGGCTTATGTGTTTTCCTCTTTAAAATGCCTTTATCTTATTAACTTTTGGAATATTATTATTTTATGTGTATGGGTGTTTTACCTACACATGTCTATATACCACTTGTGTTCCCGGTGCCCACAGAGGCCAGAAGAAGGCATCAGTCCCTTCGGACTTGGAGTTACAGATCGTTGAGAGCAACCACGTTGCAGAGAATCTAACCCTGTCCTCTGCAAGAGTAACAAGTGCTCTTAACCACTGAGCATGTTAGCCTTCCTTTACCTTTTTCAGCTGTTATTTTTTTTATTTTATTGAAAAATTGTTTTCACACAATATGTCCTGATTGCACTTTTTCTCCCTCTCAGTGCCTCCTAGTTCCTCCCTACTCACCCAATTCCATGCCCTTCCTTTTTCTCTCTCTTAAAACGTAAATAATAAATAAAAGAAAAACAAATATAAAAAACCAAGAAACACACACAACATGAAATCAGAACCCCAAATTTACAAGCAAAACACCAATAAGAGAAAAAAATAGGCCCAGGCAAAGCTATGTGAGACAAAGTTTGCAAAAGTACTTCTGAGTTTATTTTATGTTGGCTGTCTACTCCTGGGCATGGAACCTGCCCTAAAGTGTGGTTAGTATGGCCAGTGAGACTCAGCTGCAGAGGACTACATTTTCCTTTCAGTGGGTACCAATTGTAGATCACTTCTTGGTTAGGGTTGGGAGCCCTATCAGCTTCTTCCTCTCAACACTGGGAACCTCTCTGGCTTGAACTGGCAGCTGAGCTGACAATTATAGTTCCCCTCAGGTAGCATTCCAGTACCATTAATGCCAATCAGTAGGGGTGGATCCTCTGGTTAAGATTGACTTCTCTGTGTTCAGTGAGGTATACTGTTATTATCTTCAGGAATAGGGATTTCACATCAGTTTGTGGAGAGCAACCAATAGCTTTGACAATAACCTAAGATGTTTGGGGGTTCCCATGGGGCCCCTTTGAC